CAGCAACAATAACAACAACAACAACATCAGCACTTTCCTCCACTGCTGGCAGTTTATTTTTTATTTTTGCTCTTCTTTCTAGCTTTTTTGCACGCTGATTTTTTTATCAGCACTGGCACAGACTTTGTCTGCAAGCGACAAAAAATATGCGCGCACGAAAAGTCGTTTAAATCTCAGCGATATATTTTACATCATTATTGCTGGCAGCGCTGCCTCGCAGCCTCCACTCGCACTCCTGTTGCCAGCACGCTTGTTGTTTATGCTGTGCCGATTTTATGACTTACGCAGCCAAGCCCCATACCCGTGGCCATTATCTCTTAGCCAACCCCAGCAATGCCGCCGAAACAGATTTCCTTGCCGCCTTTTTTCTTTTCTTTTCTTTTCTCTTCTCTCGAACGCAGCGAAATGAAAATGAAAATCATTTTTCGATATGTTATATTTGTCTGCCTCATATGTGCGGCATTTGGTTTTGCTTACCTTAACAACAGCAGTGGCAGCAACAACAGCAACAACAACAACAAAATCGGCTAAAAGGTATCCGCCAAGGCGCCCCACGCTTTAGCGACACTTTCAGCATTATTATCTGCACGGTATCGAAAGCTCAAGCACTTTGAGTTATGCGCCAAGCAGACGCTCAAAAAACATAAAAACCAAATAAATGGCACGAGAAATGAAACGAGGCGCACTCGCAGATGCACAGATACACAGATACACAGATACGCAGATACAGATACACTGCCGCGAGTCAAACACACACAAAATACACAAACACTAGCCTACAAAGTGCATCATTTTTCCTTTTTTCCAAAATAATCCAAAGCTATAGTGTGGCTTCGTTTGACAAATAATTTGCGATGATTACGCAAAAAGCAAAATATTTTCTATTTCTCATTTCAATTATCTCTGCAGAGCAAAAGAGAGCAGTTTTCTTTTAATCTAAAGAATTTGTGTCAAGATAAATACAAAAATGTAACCATAGAAATGCTCGAAATAAATGCATGTTAAATGCTTGTAGACGATTACTTTTGAGCATCAAAAGGGAGGATGTGAGGATGGCTGCTTTTGTCTATTGAAGCGCAAGAGGGAAGTCTTTTATGGAACTCCAGTTTAACTTACTTATAATATTGTGGCCAACAATCAATCAAAGCGCCGAATGAAAAACGGCTGAAAACAGTCAAAGGCATTATTTACATAAGATTTCAGGTAATGTCGAAGAAGTAGATTAACTTTTTTCATGTTTCTAAAGCATTTTTTAAAAGTAGGTTTTGAAAAGCAGACTGTTGTAGTAAAAAAAAAGAATTCCTATCGGTCTTTATTGAAGTAACATTAAGTTAAAGACATACTTGATAAATTCGACAAATAATTAATCAAATTATTTGCCTAGCTAGCCAATGTTCTCACTGCCTAAAGAAGATAGCTTTTTTTGTGGAAACTAAATGAAACAAAATTAAAAAAAAAAAAAATTTGAACAGCAAAAATTGAACACTTTTAAATTAATAGTAACTTAAATCAATGAATAGCTAGAGCCTTCTGAGGCATAGCCATAGCTAGTTAAGTTTGTTTAAAAATATACGTTGGAAAAACAATATATACTTGTAAATACTCATCCAGACGTACAGCATTTGGCGATCTTTAAAAAGTAAAAGAGCAACTTAAGACTGGAATTAAGTTTTATTTTTGTATAGAATAAAACAATGATGAATGATGAAACCCAGAAGATTCTGGTTTTTTACCCATATTCAAATAAATATATATATTACTTACTTACTTTGCACTACAAATATTATTATAGAAAAAGAACTCACAACTTTGGTTTCTATTAAAATAAAATATTACAGAATTTGTGTATAATTGGGCTTTTAGGGAGTAGCTTCCCTTATACAAAAACTTCTGACAATTTTTCAGCGAAATTGTGGGCCAACTAGTGACGCAGAGGGGTCTCTCACCCTCATTTGCTTTGCCGGACAATAGCCCGCAATAATAAATAATAAATATCGATGAAATTCAGAAATTGAAAATGCATTGCAAATGAAAGCAATTAAGAGCTAAAAATAGACATTCTGCACCCAGGGGGATAATCAGTTACTACACTACTTCTGTGTGTTTTATGTTTGCGTTTATTGGTTGGCAAGAAATTTGAACACATTTCAAAGTATGTGTGCTAGGCATTGTACTATAAATACTCTCACGATGCAGAGCTCTGGTTTGTCTAGTTTTTGGCTTGAATTTGTAGTTTCTTCATATTTCATTGTCAGACTTTGTGTGAGGCGCCTACCGAGTTGGTGAGTGGCTAACTAAATAAAATACACTCCAGGGAAACTAAAGTGCTGAGTAGTTGTTACGAGTTAGTTAGCCAATGCCTTTTTATTTGCTCATAATTTCGCTCCAGACAATAGATCGGGCCAACTTTTGGAATAAGAGAGCACAGTCCCTTCATAAACAGGTGATTGAAATGAATCTTCACAGGACAGCAAACGGTAATGGTAAAATGTAGCACCCTCATTAGGAGCTCTCAACTGCTACGTAGAAAAGGCCAACTCCTTTTTCAAAAGGAACTGTGCTCCTTCATGAGTTGAAGCAACTCTCTGCGTGGGGAGCAGCTATTCGGGTGCTAAATATCATATGGGGACGCCTTAAAGATATTCCAACATACAAAACACTGTTGACGTGTGTAAGTATTGCTGTTGCTATGTATATGTGTGTGTGTGTGTGTGTGTGTGTGTATGTTTACTGTTACATCTGTTGTCAGTTTTGGTTTCTTTGGCAGCTCCTCTGGCGGTTCTCTACAAAAAACACAAGTCAAATGTTAGATTTCTGCAATTTTCCCACACACAACTACACAGGGAGAGAGAGAGGGAGAGAGAGAGAGAGAGAGAGGGGGATCTTGGTAAGTATGTAGGTGTTTGCTTTTTATCTGAATACATGATGTTGGCCATGTTCTGGGGCCACTGCTTTAATTTGTTTAAGTGCAATTGCAAGGTGGCAAGATTTTCACACGCACTTGGCCGACACCTTCTTGGCCTCCAAACAATGCGCTTTATGTGCGTAGTTATTGAATGCTTGGCACATAAACAGCTTTATAGAGTGTGTGTGTGTGTAACAGTGTGTGTGTGTGTGTGTAACAGTGTGTGTGTGTGTGTGCTTAACACGCCATTGAGCTGTTACGCAGCATTCAAGCGATGGCGCAACATATGTCCAAGCAGCCCCAAAGCACATGTGTCCTGCCGCTCTGCCCCACTGAGTGTGTGTGTGTGTGTTGCCAGACAAATCCCATTTGATGTTCACTCAGCAGAAAGCCAATGCCAATGAAGCATGCAAAAGGTATTTCTGTTTTCGTTCCCACTGCTGCCGCTGTTCTCTGCCTTTCTGAGATTTTGGCTTTGTAACTCAAAAAATCAGAAACAGCAGCAGCAGCAGCAGGAGCGGCAGGAGCGGCGGCGAGCAGGGTCGAGCGAATGTGCAAACATCATGAAAAACGCTGGCGTAAAAGACGAAAAATGAAAATTTCCAAGAAACAAAGGCAAAAGCAGGTCGGGGCTACAGCTGCGGGCAGATAAAGGCGCTTACAAGCCGCAGAAGCAGCAGGAATGGGGAATGCGGCAAGTGCGAGTATGGTTGCAAGAAAACTTTTTCCTGTAGCTTTTTATTGAACTTTAATTCGCTTTGGCAAAACGAAACGAAAAATGTGTAGAGTAAATTGTTTTATTTAAGTTGTACTTTGTGCGCAAATGTGAGGGCTAGCCGGCAATGGACAGCCGAGCAACAGGACATGGAAGGGAGGAGGGGCTGGATTGATACAGAACCCCACGGCCGTAATGTCCTTTATATTCGCATTGTAAATAAGCAGCCAAGTGGGCGCACCACTGGCTCCTTGGCTCCTTGGCTGCTCAGCAGCTCGGCAGCTTCATTGTCCATTGCCCATTGGCTCATAAAATGGCTTCCGGTTATGCTTCAAGTGAGATTAACTTGTCGTTTGCAATTTCTCTTTGATTCGCTTGAGACGTAGGCGTTGCTGTTGTTGTTGTTATTCTTCTTCTTGTTGTTGGTGTTGTTGTTGGTGTCGATGCTGGCGTTGGCGTTATGGGGCCTTTGCCCGATCTTGTTCTGTGGCCGCTTTCCCTTTCATCTTTCGACGCATTTGTCTTTGTTGCCAAGTCGCAATGTTTTATGATTTTCACTTTTTTTTAGTTTTTTATTTCCATTTCTTCCTCTCCTTGTTCCGAGCCTTGTTGATCAACTTGAAAAATGTCCATGTAATTGTTCTCCGTGTCCTGTGTCCTTTGTCTTGTTGTTGTTTTATTCGCACAAATTGATTTACAACAATACGTTTTGCTTTACACGTTTGAGTGCCACTGGTTGGTTGGGGGAGTGGAGCGGGGAGCGGGGAGCGGCCCGGGGCGGCAAAAAAGGTCTCAGGTGCTAGCTGTATTTGTTTTCAAATTGTTTTGTTTTCGATTCGGCAGAAAAAGGAAACCTCATGCGGCATATGCGTGTGTGGCTGGCCCGCAGTCTGGCTATTTTTTTTTTGTGTTTTTTTTTTGGCTTTCTATGCCGCGCGCTTTCACTTTTGCTCCTTGCTGCTGTCGATTGTTATTGGCTGTCCTTAGGCGCAAACACAAATCTGCCGTGGTTTGCGCTTGGGCCACTGTGCAATTAAGCCACGCAATCAGAATGCAAGATGAAGGCTGAGCAAATAGCGGCAGGCCGGCAGTGCAGTGGCCGCCATGTTTGCTCACTGCAGGCATCACAAAATGGCCGCCGCCGGCTACAAAAAAAATCAAACAAAGGCGGCCCTTCTGCACTGCAAACTCGCCGGCTGCCCATCCACAGCTATTTTTGTGGCAGGGCAGCCCTTTCTAGCCCTTTCTAGGTTAACAGCACGGCTCGCCCTGACGAATCGGCAATCAGCGTGGCCATAAAATTGCAATTTCAGAACGCACTAGTCGGGGCTACCGATTAAAGCCAACTTTAGTTCCATTTGGTGAGTCAAGAGGTTTGCAAGCCCAGACAATGAAGTTGGCCCCGCTATTGTTTGGTAAGTAAGTCCTAACACACAACTTCTAGCTTAACTTCCTGAGGGAAAGCACAACTATCTAGATTCTAGAAGAAGGGGTGAGTATTCGGAAAGGCCGTGTCCGATTCGACAGTTTGTTGTTTATAAAGATTTGCATTATTTTAAGCTCTATAAAGCATTCACTGAAGAAGATAGAAGATATTACAAACATTTAGTTTTTGTATTAGCAGAGTGTTTTTATTTAAATTGTTTAAATAATCTTGGCAATTAATTTATTTCATTTATGATGAGGTTGTAGTATCCGGCTAGTCCCAGGGGAGGTCCCCAGGATGGGTCTTGGTCCGATTACAAATATGCACTTAGAAAAACAAAGGTCTATTACAATTAACAAGAAAGGTATTCTGTCTATATTTTTGTTTTCTACTTTATTCGATCGTTCCCTCTTCTCCCTCAATTTAAGATTATTTTGAATTAGCACTTAAGCAGCATTCAAGAATATCTTTTTAATATGTGTAGTTGTATAGTTTTAATCTTTGGCTTTGTCTACTTAACGATCGGGAATTGTGGCATCTTTCTTTTATTTGCGAACTTCCTCTCTGGGAATCACAAAGCCAGCAATTCTCACGATGAATTTATTAAAGAGCACTAAAAAGGAAGCTTATTGTAATTTTCTTTTCTATGTCAAAGCAGTTAGTTAGTCGACCCAACCTGCAAACCTCAGCCCTCTTGCCTTAGATTTAGACTTTAGACTTTTTCCCAGACTCTGAAATTGCCGCATCGAATATAAATGAATCCAAAGTCAGGATGGCCCTTCTTGCGACTTTAAGCTGTTGTAGTGGAATTGAGAACAATTAGATACATTTAAATACATTTCAGCATTGCTGTTGGGACGCACCACTTGGGGCAGCATCGACGACTTCGAGGATGCCGTAGAAGTGACAACCGCGGGCCGCTTTTTGCCAGGTCCTGTGCAACTTTACACGGTTGGTCGCACTCGCCAGACGAAGAAAATTAGGAAGGAGCTGGTGGAGGCCGCACTTAATCACACACTGGATAGCCGCAAGGTGGACAGATATTGTTGCTTCTGGGTGTATCAGGACCATCCAGCCATTCCAGAGGTGTGGGAGCACCGCAGGGAGTATCCATTTGATTTTGTGGAGAACGGCTGGTTGGTGAAGAATCAGCGCAACTTCCAGGAACCACAAAAGGCGGAGTTGTATTCATAAGTTTGCCAGTCTCAGGCATTGGCTATTTCATTTAATTGCGTCCAGAGCACGTAGAGTTTGTTTCAACACGAAATTATAATTAACTTTGTGCCGCCTTCGCGTCTGCCCCACTGTACTTGCTCGTACATATACAATGTCTGAGTAAAAGTTCTGAAAATTTGTGCTGTTTGCGCCTAAAAGCCAGACAGCACATAATGGATTTGACACATTATAATCAGGTTTGCATAGCGACGGGCCCACAGTAGGGGGTCGGCCCCAAGCGGCGCGTTGACAGTCGACCTCTTCAAGTCTCCCTTCAACGTGTTCAAGTTGATGACAAACGGAGCTGCTGAGGCTCGTCCAGTTAGTCAGTCAGTCGGTCGGTCAGGAAAGATGCAGACATCAAACTTATGAACAGGCCCCAGCTTACTTTGACGTGCTCTGCTTATTTGGTCAGGGTCAGTGGCAGAGCATTGCTTCTGGTGGCTGTTGTCAGTAGTTGGGCTCAAGATTCATCATCTCGAGGCTCGCCTTGCTCTTGTTGTTGTTGAGGCTCATGTCTGGGCATTTACTTAGTTAATTAAATTCAACTTCTTTGGGGAGTCGCAGGAGCAGCCGGCGACCAGTTGAGCAGCCAAAGAGCCGACCAAGTTTAATGCTGCAATGCCCTCAGGCGTGCATGAGGTCCTTGCCAGCTGTTTGCACGAGTGTGTGTCGCTCACGGGCTTAGGAATCGCTCGTCAGTTGTGGGATAAGTTTGCACAAGCCATATACAAGTATGTAGTACGATTATAGTATATTTGTCCAAGTCCATATCATAGGTAAATATATTGCCACACACAAGCACACACGTCAGCTAAAGGCAGATGTTTGCTTTTAATTTCGACTCTTTTTTTTTTACTTTGCTTCTTGTGGCATTGCTCATAATGGCCATGATGATGAGTACACAAATGCACAAGTGCTGCAACGTCTTGAGTGATAATTATTATGCAAAAGTATTTACATAATCCACATGGCATATATACGAGTACGTACGGGTGTATTGGAACAATTTGCTGCTTGAATGCTTAATGAAAATGGTGAAAAGATTTGCTCCGCATTTGCCAAAAGAAATCCACAGCCACAACCCCACATATAACTTCGAGTATACTATATCTGTATCTGTATCTACGCTCAACTAGAAGCTGCTTCAGCTGAATTGCATTGGGGCTACTTTAGCATTGATTGACTGGCTGACTGGTTGGTTGGTTGGCTGCCTGCCTGACTGCCTGGCTGGCTGACTGCCTGAGAGACTTACAAGTAGGAGCCGTGCAATAAGGCAGAGGCAATCAGCTGGCATTTTGTGGGAGGCACACGCAAGTAAATAGTTTCAAACTTAATCGATTTCAAATGAAAATCTATCGTACTCTGCTCGCAGATAGGATTCGAGAGCAGTAGTGGCTGGCTGAAGCACATTTAAATGAAATTCTCCGGCCCACATACATGGGGGGCGGGTGGACAAAAATGCAACTACCTAGCATTCAAATAGTTAACTATATTTTATTGTGCTTTAATTTGAATTTCTTGCATTCCAGGGATGCGTATTTGAATATATATTACATGTATTTATTTCCAAGTTTTAGTTTTAAAACAGTTAACTTGTGTGCCATCTGTGACTATTCATATAAAAATGATTGAACTATGACTCTTGATAAACGAACGTTGAAATTTCTTGAACTTAAAAACCTGCCGACACCAAAAGCGCTAAGCAACGAACATGGATTATTTAACGCAGGTAGGAGCTTTGCTCTTCTTCCCACAAATAATAATACACAGTATACGCACATATAAGTTAATAAAACGTACCTAATGACTAATATAAGGCACTTAAGAGTTCATAATTAAAATGGAACTAAACAGAAATCGGAATCTGGGTAGAGTCGAGTAAAAGCAACTAGAATGGGATTTTCACCTACTTACAATATTATTATCTAAACAATTTTAGTTGTCATATTTCCAATTTTCTTAGTTAATTGTTTTATATTTAATTCAATAACGAGCAATTCAATCAGCCGTTACTTTTCAATGCAATTTAAAATTGAAATCAGTTGGTTCTTCAGAGAGCCAAGACACACACCACTTGATACTCGGCCGTCATCAGCTGCGTTGCCCAACACTGTGCCGCTAAAGATAACACTCAGCGAACAGCTGACTTGATTTTTGGCGCGCTTTCTTCATATTGTGATTGTGTACTTTGTGCAAAATCGAATTGTGTTTATTTGTGTACTTTGTGCAAAATCGAATTGTGTTTATTTGTGTATTTTAGTTGACTAACATGTCGGTTTTGTTGGCGGACATTGATGCCACTTGTGCCGCGTTAGGTTACAGCGATGGCCAGCGGTATCAGGCGGAGCCCGATGCCGCCGAAGGTTTAAAGGTAAATAAGAATTGAAAACAATTGTGTATTGTGGTATTAAGGTGTTGTGTTGCAGCATTTGATTTGGATTTTGCGTCGGGATCTGGACAATCATGAGTATCGTCGCCACTTGGGCCGCGCCAAGGTGCTGCAAACGGATCTCGTGTACATGCTGCCCGATTATGTGGAGCAGGAAGAGTTCGCAGACCTGCTCATCCGTCTGCTGGTCATTCTGACCAATCCTACGTTGCTGCTCTATCGCGACGGTCCACCCAAGGACAATCATGGACGGAAAGTGTATCTGGAGCTTATAGACATACTGCAGGGCTACAAAGCCGCCTTTGCCAGGGACAAAATCTGGATTGCGTTGTTCAATAAACTCAAGCAGGCCTTGGAAATAGTGAGTACACCAATCGATCTAGTTGATATGTAAATTACTTAAGCATTGAAGAAAACAAAAACAAAATGAATATGCCTGACGAAACTCTTGCCACGCGCAGCAGCAGCGACAGCTGCGACAGTTGCATTGAGGAATCCGTACCGAAGCCGGCGAACGCTTCTCAGATCAGCTCCTACTTCATGTGCTTGGTCTGCATGCGGACTGCGCGCAATCCGCGCGTTAGCTTCTGCGGCCATCACTTCTGCGGCAAGTGCATTCAGCATTGGCTGCGCATGCAGGGCGACGATTGCAAGTGCCCGTATTGTATGTCGCAGATCGGCGAGAATACGCTGATCATGGTGCGCCACAACAGACTGATGCTGACGGCGCCGTATTCAAGCGCCAGATCGCTGGCACAGACCCGCAAGCTGATCTTCAACACCTCTGAGTATAACAAGGAGATGCTCGTACTGCCAGAGGCGGGAATGTTTATTACGGGCTATGTGGAGTATCCGCCTGAGCTGATGCCTCGGATTCGGCCGTTGCCGCAGGAGTTGTTGCGCCAGGTATCCAGGCGTCCGGTCAGGCGTTGGTTTCTCGAACCGCAGATAAACCAACGAGTCTTCACCTTGGTAATTCTCGTTTTCATGTTCGCCATGTCCCTCAGCATGGGCGTTCGAGAATAGAAATTCAAAATTTTGCGCTCGTTTAGCCAGTTTGTGTGATATTTTTGTTCCGTATGTATTGATCTGATGTTAAATAGATTTTTGGCCGTTGCTTTCGGCATTATATGCGAAGTGTAGCGTTAATTAGCCATCTTTAAAATTGGTTTCCGGCTGGCCCCCCCATGTTGCTTTTTATTGCCTGGCATCGCAAGTTTGTTTGTCCAACTATTTTGTAATCTTTATATTAATGGCCGTCGCTGCTGCCATTGCCGCTCAAAAGTTTTAATGGTGCAGCTGCCAGCAGTCAACTTAAAAATGCTTTTTTCATTTTACTCGACGCACAGTGGCTCAGAGTCAATTATCGTTGCGAACACTTTTGGGAAAAATGAAGCACTCAATTTTGTTTGAGCTTGAAAGTCCTTAAAAACAACTATTTGGCTCATCGTATTTAAAGAAAACCATTAAATCCAGAAGAGTGTTAAGAGCATGAGAGCAGCCGAGCGTGAGAATATGAGTCTCCTTCGTGTTTTTTGTCTCATTTCAATAGTTCAGTCAATATTCAAAGAGCAATATTAATCTATTCATTACTCTATTTCAAACCTAAAATAATTTATTGATATATTTACAAAGGTGTTGAAATTAGAGCGGATCCTGTGCCACTAAAGCCCTCAATCTAGACGTCAAAAAGACTTTCATGCCTATCAGTTAGTTTTAACCACATATGGCTGCTAGAAAACGATGCTGGAAGGAAACATACAAAAACAAAATGTCCAAAACATCGTTAACCGAAAAGGATCCTTCCTTAAAAAAAACACGCTCATAAACAGTCTTGACTTTTGGCGAAATTACACTTAGCAGGACAAGGCTCAAGTCAAGGCACTGTAAAGCATCAATTCCTTAGCAAACTTTCTTTAATTACCGGAGTTTAAGAGTTCCTTTTGGCGTCCGATATGTTTGACGTGAAAGAAAACCAAATGGGAAATGTATACATATATAACCTCTTACAATTTCTTTAGGTGCTTCAAGCAAAAAATTCTTTATATTAAGTCTTCAAGCTTTGCTGTGGAGACCAGTGTGCGGGGAAACTGTTTTGCTTAGCTCTCGGTTTGTTTCTGCTGGCTTCGCCTTTGATTATGCTCGCTATTTTCCAACAGACCTTTTACGCTTTGTACGTTTCATAACTAATTTGAACTTCATATACTATCTCTCTCGTCCATCTCTCTGTCCTCCCATCTTTGACTGTGCCAGTTTTTTTATATTTTTTTATTTCATATTTTTGTGCCCCCACTTACAACCCTTGAACTTTTCAAGCGCTTAATTTGCAAAAAGTTTTAGTTAATCTGAAATTTAGCAGACCTCGTCCTTAGATGGCAGCTATCCTCCGTGACTCTTGCCCAGCTCTTTGCCTAGACAGTCGTTTCTTTTGTGTCCCTTTAATGAATTGCGCGGTGGTAACGTGTTTCAAATACATATTTAGGTGAAAGAATTCCATTTAAGAACAAGTCAAACAACATCAAAATGACACCGCAAAGTTTAGCCCCCACCGCTTCATACTGAGACTGAGACCGCAACAACTCGATTTAATAAACACCCACGAGAAGTGTCAAAAAAATAGAAGAGACTAGGAATGGCTACAAGGCACCGCACCTTCAAATCAACCGTCGTATCCTGCTGACGCGTCAACAAACTGCCAATGCCACACACGTTTGCGGGAGTAGGCAAAACCACAACAGCACAAACAAAAGCAACAACAACATCCTCGACAATGGAAATAATTTGTGGGGGACGAACAATACAAGCACAGAACATGGCAAATGTTTGCGTTTTAGAAAAAAATTCATTCGCCAGCTTAATTTTGATACTCTTACAAATTTACTAACGTTTTGGTCAGAGAATTGCTTCGAATGGAATTCTTAACCTTCAGTATTGAAGACCCGAAATTCTCATGAGACATCCGAGTTAAATATAATTAGAATGAAGACATATCTAAGTATAGCTCGGGAGTCAGTCTTTCAACGGATCGCTCAAACCTAAGTACAATTCTCCAAACAGGCGCTTTTGAACAGTCCCAGCAATTGTTTTTCAAGCAGACGGTTTGTCATCTTTTATTTTTTTAAATCATGTAACGTTTTCACAATAGGTATTGGAATTGATTTAACGATTCAGAATATCAGACTTTTCTTGAAGACACTCCTAGGGATATGAGTCGCCAAGTTCAAATTTCTGTGGCGTCACAAATACTTTGAATCACAAAATGAATCGAAAATATTGTTAGTAAGCGTATGTATTCTTCGGCATGCCAGAGAGTGGCATTTTTCTTGTTTACTTTTGCTCACAGGCTCAAAAAAATGTGGATAAACTCATGTGGTTGCATACACAAATTTACAGAAACGGTACATACAAGTACTACATAGTGGCCTAGGGCTAGAAATGTAGACAGGTGCATCGCCTAAGCGGCGATGAAAACTGTGAAGGGGCGATGAAATGAAAATTCCCAAATCGTTTCATGTTACACGTGTATTATCGACTCTATTTCTGTTTTGTTTTTTCGGGCTGTATGTGGGCATGATACGGGACTGGGACTGGGACTGGGCGGGTATATTGACTTTGAATAGTATGCGTTCAAATATATAATAAATATGTATGCTCATAATATATACTTATATTTGGATGTATTTTTAATATTCTATTAGGGTATATAAGAGGCAAAAAGGTGACCAGTTTTGATTTTCTGTTATGACAACATAATTTAGTTTTTATTTGAGGCATTGCTTAGGGTAGGGGTAGGGTAGAGGTCTATTAAAATGTGACTTCAACTTGTGTACAAAATTAGCAATACTGATAAAATATATAGAAATCTGAAACTCTCCCTCTTAATTCGTCGAACTTTGCAAACTATTCCAGACTTATAGTGTGTTTCCATTGAACAACTGGAGTGCTGTGTAATTCAGTTTTGTTTATAAGTTTAATCTCATTCTTCTTCGCTATTCTACTTATTTCATTTGTGCTCTTAAAATGCTTGTTTCGTCAATTTAGATTTCTAATAAAAATAATATTGGATTGGAGTCTTCTTAAGGACTTGTTTGCCTTCATATACTTGTGTATTAGAACAATTCTTAACTACACTCAGAGGCACTGACATGAAAAAATCAGGAATTTTTTTTAGAGAAACATGTTCAAACATGTAAGTATTGCAAAAATGAACATGAATGGGGATTTGAAAATGCGAATTAATGTCTTTATTTAGTTTTGAAAGCGTGCAGTCACATTAAATTCAATAAGCTGCGCATTATGCAGAACAGTTTCAGAGCTCGGCTGCTCACTTTTCACTGACAGTTGATATTTGTAAATGATTATCCCAGACACACAGGTATATGTATAGGTACAGATATTTAGTATAGCATGTATATATAAATTTTAAACCAAAAAGGAATTTGCGGAGCGCAAACAATTATGTAAACACTTGCCGGCATAGCGCAAACAGCATACGGGGAAAACGCGCGCTCGCAACTCCCATTTTCCATACCCCACAGGCCCAATGCTGGCGACACCCCACCTCTTCCGCCGACCACTCCCGCCGACCCCTCCAGCGCTCCGCTGTTCCCACGCATCGTCGCTATACACACAGTGAAATAAATTCATTTAAAGCCGATTGAATCGACATTCATAACACTCCGGGGAGCAATTCCAAAGGATTTTCATGGCGTTGCCGAGTCGCATAGGATTTCTTTACATTTCCATGATTTTTTCCTTTTTAAGTAACGTTTTTTACTCCGCGTTTTTTTTTATATATATATTCTATACTTGTACGTAGTATATATTTTTTATTTTTAGCTGAACGAATGCGAACGAATTTCTATATGAGCGCTGTCTATCTTGTTGTTGTCGTTTTTGTTATACTATAGATGCTGATTCTGATGCTGATGTTGTTGCTGTTGTTCTTGTTGGTAATGAATGTGCAGGAGGATTTTGCCGCCGCTACTTGGTGGGGCTGTTCTGACTTTTTATGCTTTAGATTCTTTATTTGGCGCTTGCGACTTAAACGCTTTGATGTATGCACAGCGAGCAAGCAAGTGGACACGCGAGGGGTGAGCGGGTAGGGGCTAGGGGTGGCTGTGGGGATGTGGGGCTGCGGCTGCGACTGCGGCTACAGCCACGGCTGCTGGCAACTTTCGGTTTTGAATGAGCAGCAGAGGCAGCATCAGCTCCTCGTTTATGTTTCTGTTGTTGTTGCCGCTGCTGCTGCGTAGGGAAACCAAAGCGGAAGTCATTATTAACTTTGCCTTTGAGTCGTTGCTCTGCCATCATGTATGTGGCGGCTACTCCTACTCCTACTCCCACTCCGACTCCTACTGGTGTCCGTGTCCTGGCCTTGTAGGAGTCGCAGCTGGCTTGTAGGCACAAAAGCCGCATTAGTTGTATTTATTTTTAAGCTTGCAGCAGTAGCAGCAGCAGCAGCAGCACCAGGAGAAGGAGAACGGGAACCAAATGTAATGGCAGCCAGTGAACTTTTCCTATGACCAGCCCCCTCCATCTTCCAGTCTCCCACCCACCACACACACAGACCACGAGGAACGCAAATTGATTTCAACTTGACTTTGTTGTGGTGCTGTCGCTTGGATGCCCAACTGCCTTGACTGACTGCCTCACTGCACACTGGGCTCGAGTTAGGAAAGAAAGCAAAACAGGGAATATGTTTGAGGAAAAAATGTTTTGACAATGCGAAATGTTATTATTTTCTTTCCTTTTCCGAGGAATTCAGGGTCGCTAGGGTACCTGTTGTCTAGATGTTCGAGGAACTCACAGTCGCTACTTATCATTAAGTCAATATTTTTGTATTTCATTTTCATAATAATTTGCCAGCCTTTATGCAAAATGCTCAGCTAAAGTATTCTTTTGGTTAAGGCAGTATACGCAACTAATTAGTCACTCTATCAGCTTTTTACAACGCTAAGCGTTATGCTCTTACATATATCTAATGATGGGGAAGAGCTCCCAAGATCCCCTCATTTGAAAAATTCGGATGTAAGCAATTAAATTATTTTAAAATATCAATTATTTTTATAGAACATGCAACGAAATCTGCTTAAGTAAAAGATGAAAGCATATTTCTTTTCTTACCACTCAACAATTGCCTATATAAG